GCTTGTGAATCGAAAAGTGATCGACGCATCGTTCCAATTTCCACGATAGTCTACCTTCTGACGTCGAAATGTTGCCTGGACTAAATTTTCTCACCGAATTTTACGGTACCTCTCAATTTCATAGCCTTCACGTATGAAATCATCAAGGTAGCAAGCTTTTCGTTAGGCCAAGAAGTTAAACTATTAGACTTGAATATTTTTAACTAATTAACTATGATGCAAATAAATTTCCATGGCCGACTTGTAAATGTGAATGAATTAGTAGACGTGATTAATTGTTACCTAGAGGGGCATTAAAAGAAGACATTGTCTTCTGTTACAAATTAACGAGATTTGACAGCCAAAGGAAAATCTATCAAGTTACAACACTGCTGTTGTGAACTTGGCTAACCAAAACACTGCCATCCATTCGAACTGTAAGCTTGGGTAGTTTAACAAGTATAGAACTAATCTATTCACGAAAATTGACTTTAATTGGTCCATGAATTTGATCAACAAAATCGCATTAAGCAGCATGCAAATGAAAGACGAGGCCTTTTTACATATTTATTTTTTTGACGAATAAGCCATCCAAAGGGAGGCTACAAATAACTTTCGAGATTTTATAAATTTGGCGTATTTTATGCGAAACAAACCTATAATTTATATTAATAATGGCCTTTTCCAGTCATCGTTAACAAATGGAAAGAGGCGAATTGGTGATTTATAGGTTTTGGCGGTCCTGTTCTGTAAAAGATAACAAGGCTAGTCCTGAGGCGGGTGATTGAATCATGGACCGAAAACCGGTGAGGCAAATCATTCTGGTGGCGATTATTTCATTAGTGAGAAGAAAACGTTGTGTTTACATCCGCTCATATAAAAGTGGCCGAAGACGCAAGCTTTCGAGCGAACATTAGGAACGAAAGTGGGGCGCAAAAGCACTCCCAAACCATAGTACATATCATCTCAGTGACAAGGCTTATCTTTTAAGTCGAAAGTATGAAAGGGGAATTTAGCAACTCGAGATGAAGTGATTCCTCAGGCCCAGGATATGCAATCTCCAACCCCTTAATTACATCTTTATGATAATTTATTCCGTAACCACACCTTCTGTCGATGCCTTTAGAGGTAACTTATGCTCTGTGCTGTTGAAAACATAAAACATTCAGACAACAGCTTTTGAGAAAGAATAGCCTTTCGGATAGGTCTATAGTTAGTGATTCTAAACGGGTTTACCAGACGCACCGTGAGTTTAGAAAAAGCTGAAAATAGCCTTAACGGCGAGCCTCTGTTTTGCTCATACTGTAGCAATGACAAGGAAAAAGTCTCCGCTGCAGTTCGAAGTGGTGAAAGGCATGTCAACATATTTCAGTAAGAATTTTAGTAAACGCATGCTCAATGGCTGGGAATAAGGCACTACCCTGGGGAGACTCCCCAAATCATCCTAGACATGTAAAACCTTTACATTTCTTATAAATTTAGACAGTAGTCTGTGGATATCCTAAACTGATCTCTTTTATGAACAGAATCATAAAATCCCAAATTGATAGCATATAGGAAATTAAGTTACAATGCATGATTGTTGTAAATTTTGACCACTATTCTGACTATTCTGAATTTGTTGGCACACTCTGCTGCTTTCCAATTTGAAAAAATTTTCTTAAACTTTGTTGAATGATTTACTTTTCCTAAGGAGGTTTTTGCTGCGACTTCAAACTTGAATGGGCATGTTTCGGTGGTGAATTATTTAAGAAGACAAGCACAGATAAACTCAAACGACGATGAAGTTTGAGTTATTTAGACTTACTATTATTTGTTTATGCTAATCAAATGCAGATTCACCGTGTTCTGTAGTTGCCACTATTCGATACAAACGTGTTTGAAAACACATCATGAAATGCTTTTTCTTTTCGTATTGCTAAAATATGCCAAGATAGGGAGCATGAATAGAAGAGGAAAAATTTGGAACATTTTCGATGAAAACAAAAAGAGCGAATGCACAGAAACTCTTACTTTACTGCTCTCTCCTTAGCAAGAAGAAAATTTTCCTTCAGGCAAATGATTAATCGCTTTCATTATAAGCAAACAATTTTAGCATCACAAAGTTAGCTGAGTTGCGGAACATTAAGCCCCTACACATGTATGTGGGTATAATATCATTTAGCTTATCTACATTCTATGAAAAGGGTAAAATGGAGAAACGGTATAGGTTAACGAACCAGACAGTGATGCAAGCTTTTACACAATTTATCAAAAGTGGATTTATTAAGAAAGTAATAAACTCAATTTAGTGCACATACGCTGCCGTCACTATGTCTTCTAAATTTTAGCAAAACCGACGGAATTTATTCAAAGAGAAATTTCGTTTCTTATTTGCCGATTTCAATTTACTGCATTGTGTGGCCTCCGGAAGAGAAGGTCATCTGGCGCTGCCTGAGACCTGACCACCTAAATAGTACTTTTTCCCCCGAGCCACTCTATTTGTGTGATTTCGTAATGAAATGCAGAAATACCTAGTTGGTTAAAGCAAATTTTCTCAAGTTTTAACTGTAAAGAAAATTTAGTTGGGCTTGAACTGCATCTTCACGTATAAGTGGTTCACAGATCGTTAACCAGACTAGAGCAAAATAATAGCACTGTTTTACCGTGAAGACCGCCTCTGATTCTAACTGCATTTGCGCCTTTCACCTACTATGTGGCAAA